TGCCTGACTGTAGTGAGGCTTGTGAGGTAGGAGCAGGATGGACATGTGGTCCATTGGGGAGTTGGATCTGAGCTCACAGACAGGAGCTGAGCTGCTGTTTATCTCATAGGAATTGCAAGTGAACAATGTGAGGTCAATGATAAACGAATTGGGTATGGAAAGGAAAAACCCTTTATTACTTCTGACAAATCGTGCTGTGCTAGGAGTGTAAATGTCTGTGGCAGCTGCTATACTGGTCTTTTTGAAGCTGGTAAGTTCTTGAGCATAGTTATTAAAAGATATTTTTACTATACATTATTGGACTGAAGGGGCTGAAAACAACAATGTCAAAGTACTCGGATGCTTTTGTGTTTCCAGGACAGCGCATTAAAAAGACATCAATTATTCTTCATGTTCTTGGACATGAGGCATCTCTACATGTCAGATGGGCGTAGCCTCGTTAAAAAAAGGGCAAAGGCACAGCATTTTTCTGTTGAGGACAGTTTTGCCAGATACTGACACTGGTGTTGGCAAGTCTCTAGGGTGAAATAAGGAGCCCTTCAGAACATCTTGGCTTCTTTTACTAAAGGTTTGAACGCTTGAAGCATGGAAGTGCTGAAACCTCAAGTGTATTTTATGTCATGGTTGTTGACAGTGGCTTGTCAGTGAGTGAAGTTTGCCACAGGAAGGCTGGAAAGAATGTGAGTAATTTTTAACATGCACAAGAAATTGTTGTGAGGTGTATCTTCCAGAAATCTGTGGGACAGATGGAACAAAGAAACCAAAGGACTGAAAGGGGTATAAAGAAATATACTCTTACCCCTGGAAGAAGATATGATAGGAAATGCCTTTACTGCTTAAGGTTAACACAGTGGCACTGAGCTGGCTTTTGCATCACTTTTCTCCCTTAGAATACAATGTCCAAGGCAAGTAAAGGCTGCAACAACCTGATCATAATTTACTTGTTACAACTAACCCGTAGCTACTCTACCTCAAACTGATGCTACAATCATAGAATCATGAAGGCTGGAAAGGACCTGCAAGATCATTGAGCCCAACCTTTGACTGAACACTACCTTGTCGATTAAATCATGGCATTAAGTGCCACGGCCAGTTGTTTCTTGAGCACTTCCAGGGATGGTGATTCCATCACTTCCCTAGGCAGCCCTAGAAGGGAGGGATCACAGCTACTGGCCTTCCTGTGTATAGGATGGCACTTACCATAGGACGTGCCATGCTTTCACAAAGAAGTAATTTTTCTGAACCAACCCCCTGCTTCCAAGTGACTTGCAGTGTTTCAGAGGAAGGAAAAGCATTATTCAGTCTTGATGAACTTTGGCTGGTTGTCAGAGCTGTACTATCACAGATGCAGCTTTCAGCCTGCCCTGTGGCTTTTGCCTCTCTCTGACAATGATTACTCTCTGGTTAGTGAGGCTGTAGAGTTGATTCTGTTCAGGCACTTTTTCAGTGTGTGTTTGCACATGCAGTAATAACTGTAACAATAATAATAGCAACAACAACACTACTACTGCCACTGCTAATGTCTTTCTGTGCCCTTCACATGCGGTTCTTATGAGTATTAACGATGAAATTCTGTTTGGGATTTTTTTTATATACTTTCCTACTGGCTTCACACTGACAAGAGATCAACAATTTTAATGGAAAAGACCACTACTGGGAATTTTTGCCTCAAAATAGCTTTCTTCTCCATCTGATAATGGGGAGAATCACCTGTTCTTTGACCTTTGGTTGGCAGACTTGGAAATTGAAAAGCAAGATGGTTGTGCTGTAATAGCATTACTCTAATGATGTGTGTGGTCAGTGGTTTCTGGGCATTAAGAGAGGGAGAAGTAACCTGAAAATCCAACTTTTGCCGGTTTTAGTTCTGGTACTGTCCCTGCAATTATGCGAATGTTAATGTCTAAGCTAATAAATTGGACAGCTTCAGATGGATTAATATTTAGTGGATAACATGTAGATGATACTTAATCATGGAGAAAAAATAATCGTTCGTTTAAAAATAAACAAAAAATAACAGCACTAGTAGGTGTAGATGTTTCTATGTAAGACACAGCACAGGAGAGACTCTAAAGCAGAACCTTTGTTTATTCTCTCTCCCATGAACTCCTTGTTGTAATGGCTAAGCACCTTATAAATATTTATGGATGTGTCCTCAAAGGAAAATCAAATTTATGTAATGGAAATGCAAAGTGATGGTAAAAGAAGTAACTTTCCAAAGGTTCCTACACAGTTATACTGTGACAGAACTGGAACAGTAAATCAGACTAGTATATCCCATTTTTGTAAACGAGCCATCATCTCATCCTCCTTGTTAGTTACTTTTGCATTGGCTGCTTTCAGAGTAATTCAATTCTTTTCTTAAAATAAAAATACTTTATTTTAGGGAAATGCATTACTTTTTGCAGTTTCACCCTTAGGCAGGCCAAACATGGATAGACGGCCAACTGGGGTTTGTAGTTAGTGGCTGCAAAGGAACAGAGAAGAACATTAAATTCAGTTTATGCTGCTGTGTGACAACTTGCTCTGATCTTGCTCCTCAGCTGCTGGGGGTGTCAGGAGCATCACTTGGGAGGTGCTGTGTGCTGGGTTGAACGTGAGCACGGTGCTCAGCAGTGCTGACTGCCTGGGCAGGCCTGCAGTGATGCTGCCTAACTGGGATGGCACTGCCTCAGCTCTCCTCTCCTCTTGCAGCCCTCGTGCTGCTGCTCAGGGCAGCTCACACGCCGTCAGCAGCTTCCTCTTCAGGGCAAGCCAGTAATCAAACAATTCCCTGTGTCGATTATTGTGCACTCATGAGAGGTGCTTATATTTCTGTGGGCTCCAGCTGACACTGGTCCTCTGCAAACAGTGACTGGGGGACAAGATGCTGCAGTGGTGGCAGCTCACTCCTGCAGCAAAGGGATTCAAGTCTGCCTTTGGGCAGTGCCAAAGTGTGCGAGCAAGAGGATATTTTTCTGTTTCTCAGAGTTTAAAGCCTTTGTGCAAATCTCTTTGAAGTCAGTGAGGGACTTGTGATGTTGCAATGGGCTTTGATTTTGACCCCAAATGCCAACTTTACAGTATGTGTTTGTGTTTTGGTGGTTGGCTCGTGAATATGAAACAGTGCTGGGCCAACCTTTGGAGAATATATTGAATGTGCAAATTTGCACAATGATCCTGATCATATGACAGTGGATATATGTTGAAATACCCCCCAGTATGTTGCAGGCACATTCCTCTTTGGTCCTGCGTGTGCTGTTTGTATGTGTTTAGCTGGCACTGTGAGCTCTGAGGTTTTCTTTTAAGTTCTTCTACAATACTTGAGGGAACTCAACTCTCATCACTAATAAAATAAAATAAGGCAAAGCACTGGTAGGTCTTGCCTTGTTAACTGTTCTAGCTGTTGTGTTTCCCACTGTTCCAAAAAAACCCATAAAGCTTTATAAGATTTAACATATTCCCAGTGCAAAGCATGAATATTTATAGGCAAAGAATAAGACTTCCCATTTTGAAATGTCAGTGCTATGAAATTGCTTTTTTGGCAGGCGTGATTAAGCCACACAGACTTCCAATAAAGTTTTGTAAGCTTTTTCCTTAATTATAGCTTAATTTAGGTCTCTGAGTTTAACAAAACCTATGAAGCTTGCAGCAAAATGTTTTTCTTGTGGAAAATTTTGTTTGCATGGATTACAAATCCTGTATTTCTTGTGGTTATGATTTTTTTTAATGTGCTTAAATGTCAAAATTCCGTATTTTTTTCTCTACATTTCTCAAGGCATTTACAACAGTAAAATAACTGATGCCATGTGCTTAATACAGAATTTTGAAGACATTAGTTTGGAAAGTGTAAGTGATTAATTTTTCGCTCCAAACGCTTTGAGTAAAATGTACTGGAGGTTATAAGACATCAAGCAAGAGCCACAAGGTTCTGTCTCAGGGAGTTATTTCTGCAAGACACAAATAAGAAGCAATTTTTCTTTCATATAGTTGTTCTTGAATGCACCGTTCCGACAACAGCAATAAATAGAATAATCTGCATAATTGTATTTATATGCCATTGACCTGTCTTTTCTAGAGAAAATCCCCTTTTCCCAGATCAAATAATCTCCCATTCAACTGTAAGTCAAAGGAATCCTTATTAGCAGCTGCACAGATTTAGGGGAATGTTTCTGCACAGGTTTAACACAGAATTTTGATATGGACCTCTGAGTGAATTTGATATTTGGTGAACAAAATATTGTGAGGGCACTAAAACCACCTTGCTTTCCTGGGCTGATTGGGATATGATTTACTCAAAAGAGCTAGACAGAAAAGCAGAGAGATGATGTGATTGAACTCAGGTAGATCTATTACTAGATTTTTTTAACAGCGTATTTTTTAAATTGATGTAATAAATTTCTCAGCCCTGCTCAAAGATAGAGTTTTGAACAGCTTTGAGCTATTCCTGGCTTAATACTCAAGTAGAAACAGCAGAAGGGGTGGAAAGCCAGAATCATTTTGAAAAAAACCCCACACATTCAAATGGTTTAAAATCCTCTGCTGTGATCGTGCTTTTCTGACCCACTGCAGCCTTGCATTAGCAAACTGAGAATTTCACCACCTTCCTAATTGTAATGCTCAAAATATGATACAAATAAATGATCTGAATAAAGCAGGGAGGTGAAAAAAGAAGGGGGCCTTCTGGGGCCTGCTCCATCGACACTTGCACTTGTGAACATGAACTCAGAGGCAGTCGGGGGCTCTAAAGGTGGCCTAAGTGGGGGAGCTGACAAAAGTGAAATCCCTTGAAACTCAGACACTGGCCATTTTTATCACCTGTGTTTGAATCGTGAATTCAGGATCTGAAAAGCAAATATTTGGAGAGCAGTTTGAAAACTTGTTTACTGGAAGGGAAGGGGGGACTGGGGAGTTTGCAGTGGGATGCTTTAATTTTCCAGATAAAGAAAAGTTCCCTGGGATGGCAGAAAGTAACACCTGAGTCTGCCATCAGTGTTTTCACCTCTCTTTGCTCTTCTTTGCAGGTTACATATTTGGGTAAGGTTTCCACAACAGGGATGCAATTTTTGTCGGGCTGCACGGAGAAACCAGTCATTGAGTTATGGAAGAAGCACACGCTCACCAGGGAGGATGTTTACCCAGCTAATGCCCTTCTGGAAATTCGCCCTTTCCAAGTCTGGCTGCATCATCTGGACCTCAAAGGTGAGGCGACAGTCCACATGGATACCTTTCAGGTAGCACGTATCGCCTACTGCACTGCTGACCACAACGTCAGCCCAAACATCTTCGCTTGGGTCTATCGGGAGATCAACGATGACTTGTCCTACCAGATGGACTGCCATGCTGTGGAGTGTGAGAGCAAGCTGGAGGCCAAGAAGCTGGCCCATGCCATGATGGAGGCCTTTAAGAAGACTTTTCACAGCATGAAAAGCGATGGCCGGATCCACAGGAACAGCTCGTCAGAGGAAGTGTCTCACGAATTCGAGTCTGACGATGGCTGACTGGACTCATTCACGGTTCAGCAAAGGCAGAAACGGCTTAGGGAATGAGAGCTGATAGAAGAATAAGCAACAATTGAAACAGGGGAATGAGAGGACTGCCAAACACTTGTCTGACCAGCTTTTTAAATCAAAAGAGCAATTTGGTACCTACAGATAGGCATCACTGAAGTAATTATGTTACAGTGAAATCTGCTGCTGTTGTAAAAGTGAGAAAAAAAATATCTCTCCCCCACCTCTCCCACCCACTCATCGCTGCCCCTTTTAGTTCAGGTGCACACCATGAAGTACAGTCATTCCTGTTTTTATTGTAAGACTGGTCAGGCAATTTTATTAGTTGCTTCTTTGGCATTCCTAGCTGCGGGCTGATGCTGATGCACAAGAGCAAGTAGACCTGGAAAGCCCTAATGGTTCCTGATGAATCTTTCCCCATGATGCATCACAAAAATCCTTTGACCGTACGTAGGCTGAGACAGCCATACATAGCCTTTTAGACTAATGGCCTGGCATTCTGCAGTTAATTCACATTTCACAGATAAAAAATGAAAGATGCTTGTATGTACACATTATATCATATGCTATCCTTTATTTTATTCATTGTACCTATTTTCTTAGTATACCTGCTGCCACATCTTTCACCCAACACCAGTAGTTGCAGTTTCAGAACTGTGCACTGCAGGATACCAAAAAGGGGGTGGGCTGAAACAGTCCCCGGTGGCTGGGGGTGTACAGCAGGTCAGCACTGCTATCCGTGCGTTTTCCTTACCCTGACGTGCTCCACAGGAGGGGGCCCCACTGGGAAGAGCTGAGGGACACTTGGGTCTGCCAGTGTTTGAACTGTGACTTCTCATCAACCTCAGGTCTGAAGTGCCACGAGCACGGGAGCCACGAGCCTGCGTTGCCGGGCACTGCTGGTCGAGTGGCCCCGCTGGGATGGAGCTGGCAGTGCCTCCTGGCACAGCCAGGGCTGTGTTGCTGTAAAGATCAAAGGAAACGGTCCCTTAGGAGCCAGGTTTGAACAGCTGTTCTGGTTGAGAACCTCGCGTTAAGATTCCCGTATCTTTCCTTGTTCACGGATATACAGTCATGCCTTTCTTAAACGCAGATGTTTAATAAAACTCAACTAAAAGGAAAAAACTTGTTTCACTTGATATTTTTTTAAGGCCGAGAGCAGACTGATAGTTTGCAAGTAACTCTGCTCCTTTGTACAACCTTGTTTGTAATGATGGTAATGTTAGGGGCACTAGGGCACCTTACAGAAGCCTTAAAAGAAAGCTAACCCAAGCAGATAGCTCCGTGTCTGTGTTTTGTGCATCTTTTGTGCATTTGTGTTTGTATGTGAGGGTGTTTGTGCGAGTCCGGTGGAAAAGCATGTACTCTGTGCACGGAGATTCATTGAGGAGGGCCCACGCCTCTTGAAAATATGCTTGTTGCTTTATAATGTATGTAAAGGTTCCTCCAGCATAAATGCATTCATACTTTAATAATAAAAAAAAAGGTTTTGGGTTAAACTCTTTGAGTTTTAAGCTGTCTTTCCAGTGTCAACTCTGTGGTTTTATGGGTGTGGGTTCTGTATTAATTTTGTTTCGTGGAATGAAAATGTTAATTTATTTCCATTGAAATATTACATCGGTCTACATGAGAATTACCATTAGCATTCTAAAATTATTTTCTTTTAAATATTTAGGTTAAATATTGCTGTGAGGTTTTGTTTTGTTTTGGGGTTTGAGTGGTTTTGTTTGGCTGTTTTTGTGGTGGTTTGTTTGTGTTTTTTTTTTTTTTTACTTTGTTGAGAGTGGACATGATCTCTAATTTTTGTTTAGCAGGCTGATGCAGTGATACCACCCCCTCCCACCACCTGACTAGTTGAAATGAGCTCTGCTGAGTGGGAGCAGTCACCTGCTGGGCTGGGTTAAGCAAAGAATACCTTTGTTGGGGGCTTTGGTTTTGTCTTTTCTTATACAGGACAGTCTACATTTCTGTTTTACAGATGTACTGATTTGCAGTGGGTTGGGGAGTTCTCAGAAAGGATATTTGATATTGTGGTGTCTGCGATAATTCCTCAGCAATTGGAGGCTATGGATTACACGAGAATTCTGTATGATGAAAATAAAATATGAAGGAGAACATTCTAGTCCTTTTTATTGGAAAGTCAGACCCTTTGAAACATGAACCAGCTATTTTCTAAGGGTTCAAACATGCGAGGGAATATGAGGGAATGTGAACTGCAGTTCATCTTAGAAAACATGAGATTTGAAAAATAATCAGTTTCATGAGTTTGGATCCTTAGATAATATGGAATTCATGCCAAATCTCTCTGCATTATCAATACCAAATGTGTGATGCCATTTGCATGAAGGAGAAAAGCTTTCAGTCCTGAATTGCAAGCATAGCAGTTATCACTGATTATCAGTTGCCAGTAGATACTGGAATGAAACATCAAGTTAAACTTTTCCTTCAATTAATCTGTTGGAAAAGAAAAATCATGAAGTTTCCATCAGAAGTCGCTTCCAGTTGGCTGAAGGCTTTTCTGCTCAACTACAAAGAGCCCGGCTTTGGATCTCGCTGCATCCCGTTGTGGGTTGATGAGTTCCTTCAGTGTCAGCCAGGAAAACATGTAAAGGATTTCTTTCCCTCTTCTGCTTGTAGGGAAGAGTGGAAAAGTTTTGAATATCTGAGTGTGCTGTTAGAAGTGTGAAAAATGTATAGAGTATTTAGGTCTTTACCCCTCGGCATCCCTATGTAACATCACTGGGGTTATGTCAAGGCGATTTTCATAATTTTTCTGATTACCTTTAGAAAGAGAAGGTAGGTGTTACTCCGTATAGAGTAAGTTTGTTCAGTTTTCAAGCTCTGAAATCTGAATATCTTCTGTACCTCCCAAATCTCTGGAGCTGTGAGTGTGTGATTGCTCAGGAGCAGTTTTGCTATGGGGAGAGCAACACTCTGCACTGGCAAGCACAGATTGCATGAGAATTGCTTAGATGTGCATGATGCCCATGGGGATGGAGAAAGGCAGAGACTCATGTCTTTCATGTTTTAAACTCAAAAGCCCCTAAGAACAGCTGAATGTTTTGTTTAAAAAAAAAAAAAATAAGGGAAAGAAAAAGAAACAACCCAAAACACAACCAAACAAAAAACCCCTCTCCAGCTGGTTCCACTCCCTAGCTTTCCAGTAGTGAGTGACTTCATTTTTACAGGAAAAAGGATTTTGCCAACGAATTGCTTTTAATTTTCCTAAAACCTACAAATAAATGGCATGTGATTGAGATACAGAGGCAATCCCGTATCAGTCTCATAGGAAACTTTACATATATATATATATATATATATATATATATATATATATATATATATATATATATATATATATGTTATTCTTGCAAGTTTTGAGACTTCAGTATCAGCGAATTTATGTTTAATTTTATTTGAATTGTAAGGTCCTCTGTGTGTCTGTATACACATATATATATATGTACACATGTACATGCACACACATCTTGAAACGTGTTACTTGTTAAATATTTTCTGTCTGGTAGGTGTATATGTGAAGGCAATCTTGCATGTTAGTCTTGAGATAAATGGTTTACTTATTAAAGAACTTATTTTAATGGGAAGAAAAATTAATTTGTCCATCTACATGCAAAATTTGATGTACTATTTGCATTATTTACCATTTACCACCAGAGCTCTCCCTTCCATGCCCAATTAGCTGCTGTAAGAATGATGTATGATTGGGCTCAGTTTTCCCTGTGGCAGTGAATTATTAATTCGTGTGTAACCGGGAAGTGATATCTTAAATGTGTGATTGTTATCCTGTAGACTACAGTGTCCAGTCTGCCAAGAGCTTACAGCATGAGAACATATCCTTTCCTGACAGTAGGGAAACTCATTATACCTTTTTCCTAATATAATATTAAACAGATACAGGGGATTTTTAAAAGCTCCTTTTTTTTGTTGTTTAATTCCATTCAAATACTTCCTCTCCTTAATTGTACCACTGATCATCTTTGCCTGGGGAAAATGGGTGTTGTCCCTCCCCTTCCAGCAAGACACAGGGCCCAGGCACATCTGTGGGCATGGCATGATGCTTGCAGGATGGTGGGCTGGGATGGAGGAGTTGCTGGTACCTGTGGGAGAGTGTAAGACAGTTGGATTCAGCTGTTGGTTTGGATTTTTATAGCTAAAAGTTGCAGAGGCTAAGCCTGAAGTTTGGGAAGACCCTCTCTTGTGTGGCAGTAGCTCATTTAAAGTGCCATGAGAATTTCTTCAGTTAGGAGCGAAGAAATTCGATTTAATTTTTGGTGAGGGCTGTTAAAGAAGATACAATAATTCATTGAAAATAGTTGTGTATTTGGAGAGATGTTATCCTGCCTGCTGCAGTGCCTTCCCTGGAAAGGGAAACATACTGTGAAATATGCTGGAAGCACAGATGTGATGCACGTGCTGAGTCTGTGCTACAAACAGGGTGAATGCTGCAGGCTGGTAAAGCTGTGGGAGGACACAGCAAGGCCCCAACCAGCAGGGACATGTGTGCCTGTGGTATAATGGAGATGGCCAGGCTGAGATTTTGGGTGTCTGAGAATGAACTGGAGATGTGAAAAACGGAGGGCGGTTCATATTTCTCTGAAGGGCTTCCCCAAACTGAACAGTTCGGGGAAGATGGAGGAGTGAGGATAAGCTGTTGGAGAGCTTTCTCAGTTTAGTTCAACAGAGATCCCCAGCACAGTTGTGTTCTGAGAAAGTCTCCTCTGGAATGTGATGTGCTCAGCTCCCACAGTGATGCCAGGGTTAGGGATGCTCTGGTGTGGCCAGTGCGACTTCACAGGGTGGTGCAGCAGCAGTGAGTTGCTGCTTTCATGTGGGATGAAGGTGCCAGCAGCAGGCTCCTCGGGTGGCACCATCTCTATCCGTTCTCCTTTTCCATTTACTTTACTTTACTTTAGTTCCATTGATTTACTGTGCTGAAAGAGAAGCTTCAAATCCTGCATCTCAGCAAGAAATTAGGTTTGCTGCAAACTCTTTTCAGAAAAACTGGAAGCAAAAGATCAGGCCTCTAATGCACAACTGAGGAAGTGTTAAAAATACTCAAAGTAACAATCTTTGTCAACTGAGCAGCCCTTGGGAGTGCACTTGAAGATAATCCTCAATCCTGTGCTAACAGCACAGGAGCATTTTAGAAATAGGTCCTGTTATTTCCAGTTATTGCTAGAAAGATGGGAAGGGGGTGTTTGTTTTGGTTTCTTTAATGTCTCTGGTAGAAGATGTATGTGAAAAGGCTGTTAATGTTTTCTCACCACGAGAAAACTGCTCACAGTGACTTGTGCTTATATTGGCAAGGTGAAAACACCTATTGAAAATGTGCCATTAGAGGCAGCCCAGCTTTGATGGCACAGGAGTGACTCTTAGTTACTGTACATGTTATGTGGTGCAGAATCAGTGTGTCCCTTTTCTAGGGACGGTATGCAGACTGGAGCATCTCTCCTGACTTCTCAATCAGAATGGGAAGGCAGTAGTAGGTGGTAACTTTTATCTATTGCATTTGATTTGCATTGTGCTTTATTATCTGTTATTTTCCTGTAAATTGTATTGCTCTTGGAAAGAAAAGGAATGTTATTATCCTATGAATAATGCATCATGTCACTGGTATGTTTTTTTGATGGGCAGCATAGATTTTCCTAGAATGATGGACAGGAGTGGATTTCATCAGTAAAAAGTGAAGTGTAATTTTTTTACAGTTGATACGGGTCATGTGCATGTGAAAAATGAGTTATTCCTATTTCAAGTTAGTTAACTCAAATTAGTTACCTCTCATTTAGAGAGTAGAAATAGTTTTAGACATAATTACTGAGGATATAATTAATCAAGGTTTTCTTGCACAGTTGGGTTAAATCGTTGTGGCTGAGTGCTCAGTACCATGCTGGTGCTCCCTGGCTCAGTCTCATCTCTAATGGATTCCAGAGCCGGTGGTTTCAAGTAACAACAGCTTTTCCAGATCCCAAGGCAATAATGAAATACGCAGAGGAACTTCAAAGGAAACTCCTCTAGAAAGGAAAAATGAGGTTAAATGATGATAGTCAACTGTGGGATATTTTTGTATCCATAAAATATGTCAGACCTATTCCAGTGAAGAAACAGGTGAAATCTGAAACTGCGCTTGACTAATAGACCGTGCTTTGCATCGACCCAGGCTCCCCTAAATGGTTTGGGACCTGATTATTTCTGGGGTTTTCAGGTATATTTCTTTATGTTTTTTTGAGTCAGCTCTGGCCACACAAAGAAAAGGCATTTGTGCCTCCCTTCCCTGTTTCTAATAATCTTTGCTATTCAGTAAGTGCAGGAATAGCGTCGGATGAGCTGGAGACAGGTCTGCTTTGAGAGGAGCTGTGTAATACCTACACCCTCTCCTCTGCCCCAGCTCGGCCGTCCTGGTCTGCCTGTCCCTGGTGTCCCTGTGAAGAGGTCACTGTCACTTCCAATGAGCCCTGCCCTGCTCGCTGGGTCATTGCAG